TATAGCAGTGAATTTCTCTCAACGTTGAGCAACAACAGCTGTCTTCAAATTTTCAGTTTAAGGGCTTATTTTTGTGCATTATAATTTCAATATAAATTCAAACCAGAATAACTGGCAGAGGATCAGATGACAGAATCCTACAATACTACATCAAGTATGTTTTCAACACTGCTAAGACAGTAACACAGCATTCCAGCTTTTAAAGCGTCCTTTAGAGGCAGCAGCAGTGATGGGAACAGTTTGCCTCAATACAGTCTGTGTTCAGTCTCAAACTGAAACATGGGCAGTGGTATTTGGCACTTTTATAAAGCATCTACAAACAGCACTTGCTGTTTCCCATTTACAAGGTTGATGTGGGGGAAGGACGAGAATCAGATGAGCTGTAATTGCTGTAGAAATGTATTAGAACTATCGAACCAGATATACAACGTATCATGCCCTCTGTAATTAAACAATTAACAGCTATGAGGTATGAGCTTCACTACTGCTGTTTCTCTTCACCAAAGTTTGTTACTTTAAACAAGGAGAATCAGTACAACTGCTGCACTAGGCAACTGCTCAGCACTCGAGTAAGCATAAGCAGGAACTGGGGTGTGTGCATAAGCAAACATTTTGTCACCGTTAGGTACGGTTCACATTGCTTTCTGTGAAAAGTGAGTCACTCACCACACAGCAGCTTAAGGTCTTAAGAGACTTAGTGTAGTAATACTGTGCTGCATGTAGTTGTAAAAGTAACTCAAACTAATGTTTGAACTCAGAAACAGTAAAAAGCAGATGACTTCTACACACAGGTGTTTTACTGAAGATACATTGGGGAGGCAACGTGGCAAGAGACTTCTAACAGCACTTCAATAAGAAGATACTACCTTTTGCTGTGGCTTTAAGGTAGAGCTTACAGGACCTGTGTTGCAGGCAATCTCTGCCAGAGGCTTGTTCTTGGAGGCTAGGAGGGAATCCCGTACTGATAGTCACAAAAGCCGTTTAATTTCATAGGTAGCCAAGACTTGAAAAAAAAGCAACCAACCAAATTTAAATCCACTTAGAGGTAAGAGTGCCACAGATTTGTGACTGAACTCAGAAGAGTTTGAGTCACAAATGCAAACTGCACCAAGTTTTGCTAGGTTTGCAAGTCCTGATGGCAGTGTTGCAGAGAGAAGACTGAGTAAGTGCACCTAAAGCACATCTAAAGCATTCTAGTATTTAAAGTTTCAATTTTGGAAGATTTGTTCATGACGGTAGCAAGGCTGACCCAGGCCTAAGGTATCAGAGACACTAAGCAAAAAGATCTCCTCTCCCAAAACACTGAAAGTTGCATTGCTTTATCTGGGAAAAATGCTTTACACAGAAGGAACAGGTAAGCCAGCCTCTGCAATTTCATTTTCACCAAGAACATTACTAATCGCCAGGGGAGTTTCTGGAAAGTAGTGATTACAAACTGCTGTAGGCAGCTTGTAAATTCTCAGATGGCGGATTAGAATGAATGATTTAAGAGATTTGTTAGTTTCCTGCTTTTGTTTTGCTCACTTTTCTTTGATTTCTTTCACGATCTCTGCCTCTTTTGCTATTAGCGTTACTGTAATTGAAGGCATACGTTGAACCACTACTTGTACTCCCAACTCTCCGTTCAGCCATAACATGCTTGGGTTGTATCTAGGAAACTGAATTCAACCCTACACATTTTATTTCAGTATTGCAGATTTACTATTGATAAATTAAAAATAATTCTGAATGAATTTATTTTAAGTTGACCCATTCTTAAGCAAGCATCCATATATGCTCTGCGCCAGTTCAGTTTAAATCATTTAAGCTGATGCAACTTTCCAAAACATTCAGTGCTGTACCCAAGAGGCTTGGCACCTTTTCTCAAGGCCACACCAGGCCACTTTGTATCAGTAACCATAGACACAAAAACACTGCAAAGCCTTGCTTGAAACTTACTGCATCACCTAGAATTACAGGAAGATTGAGCCTAAGAAAGTCTCAATATAGAAAGAAAACAATACTACAGGAGAGAGCAGCCAGAAATTAGAAGTCAGCAATATTAAGGCATTGTTTTGTGTGCCAATGAAACTCACCCTCTGGAAGTTTCACAGTTCCACTGATAGCAGCAAGTGAGTTTCTGTTTACAAAGTCTATAAAGAATTAGTGGGATGTCCTTGAAGCAGACACTGCTGTGGCAAGTTAACCTACATAAACTGAGGGAAAGCAAGAGAACTGCAATTTTGTTCGGATGCCTTCAAATGAACAGGATGTTCCTGGCAGTTACGCGTCTGGGGAAGGGACAGTTATGCTGCTCAATATTATTATTTTTATTTTATTTATTTATTTTTACTATAATGCTGTCTTGCCTAAGCTTCATTATTGCAAGCAGGTTCTCCTCCAAGTAGTTATCCTGAAGCATTTCCTCCTTGGAGGATTTACATCCAAACAGTGTTTTATTAAGAACCTTTCTATTTGCAACGATTAACTCAACAGCTTCAAAACCTCCAACAAACTATTTAACTCCCTCATCCATAGAGCAGACTAAACTTCAATTTTTTCACACCATCAGGCTGCAAACAAGAGGACCCACAACTGACACCGCATATTTTGAAAGGGACTTAGCACAAGGTAAGGCAGGAAGATTAACCCAGCTACAAGCACAGCCTCAAGGCACAGCAATCTCCTTGTTTCAGGCATGTAAATACATTTCCTAGAGGGCAGCAGGTTTTCCTGAGGCTGATTTGGTTTTATAAAGAGGTTTAGTCCTGCTAGAATTCAATAAATATATGACAGACTTCCAAGCTCAACTATATCAGTTGGAAGTACTTGTCTCCCTGTATTACGCATCCCCACACAGCAGCTATCTCGGGGAGGAGTAGTGATAACATCAGCAAGTGCCCTGGTACAGGAGAGGCTTGCAGAGCCTTACTAAAACAGCAGGGTCCAGTCTGCAGTTAGGAGATGGCATCTGAACAGGTGCAAGCGACATGGACAGAGGGATCTGTGTTACACAAACCCTTCCCTTCAGCAGCTCATAAGGTCCTCAGCATCTGCTGGGACCTGCGGTGCCTGCGTGTCCGACACACTGAGCGTCCCGCAGCATCCTCTGGGACAGTGGTGCCCATGGTACAAACAATTCTCCCAGCAGACAGAGAGCTCTGAGGACAGTGGACCTAGTGTTGCACTGGTCTTCCCAGCATCTGCTCAGACCACTGCAGTACCATACCCATACTAAATAAAAGTGTCACAGCATCTGTATTGTCCACTCCCTGCAAACAATATCAAATAATACTGTAGGCTGACAGCCTATCAGAATTAGAAAGCAAATCCAAATTAAAGGAAGTATACAATATTATTACAAATATCTGCATCTTCAAACTGAGTTTCTATAGTAGGAAAGAAAGTCACGAAGGAAAAGTCATGAAGAGCTATTTCTTTAAAAGCCTTCTTGCATTCCCTGGTCCTTAGCAAGGGAGGAACTACTCCGTTTTTAAAGCCCATTACTTGTTTTTATAACTTTTTCTTTACTAATCCTTAAAAACAAAAATCAACACAATATTTTTCAGTCTTTGTACTTCAATTAGGTATACGAGCACACAGGATTCAAAGAATTAGCTGCTTTTTAGAATTTAAAATACTTTACAGGAAATCTTATTCTGTTCTTCTAGAGACATGGAGGTGAATTTGTTTTTTAATTATTATTATTTATACGGAAATTTGAAGTCTTTCATAATACTGCATACATGACATAGTATTTCTGGTGTCTACCTAGAACAGTTTTAATTCAGAGGGAAGCTAGTTAGTTCATGAAAACAGAATTGTTAGACCCTGACAATGACTTTTGTGATTGTAGAACTGTGAAATACAAAACGCTTTCACAATCCAGAAAACAGATGCTCAAAGTGCAAGCCATGGCTCATGATTTAAAATATAGGGGTACACAAAGTTACTCTGGATTCAGATTGCCAACCTCAGAGTTGAAGAAACTCTTTTCCCACTTCAAGTTCTCATTTCTCCATTGTGGGTATGTTCACCACAAGGACAGTACAGAAATCAATCTCATTAGGGACCATTGTCTACATCCCATTGTCATCACCTTACAATTTTACTCAAAGCTCCCCCCCTTTGATTTTTGCACACATTATACATTGTACCCTTGAACAATGCTTTCCAGAAGGACAGAGACAGTTGTGTTTCTCTCTGTGATCACATTTTGATAACATCTTTTTAATTGAAAAATCAAAGTAAATCCTATCTCGAAGGGAAAAAAAAGGAAGCGATTGCACTGACCTCTAGTAAATCGAATCCTGGATCATTTAAGTAAAAAAATAAAAAGTTACTGGCTTCATTCAAGAGTAACTAAGGCTATATGGCGTCAAAAAACACCCACCAACAAATAATAAACAAAAGCAACTTCATTAAAAACAAACACCAAACAACTTGGGTTTTAGACAAACCGATGAATAACTGCAGCAGAGTAAAGCTTGCCAAAACTGCTGGGAGCCCCTCGACTCAGGAAGGAGCGTAACCAAAACAGGTGTATGTGTGACAGTGCCACCCTGGAGCCATTCTCCTGGGTAACGAGCAGCTACCTGCTTCTAAGTGGTTAGGTAGCTTCAGGACAGATATTTATTTAACTTGCTGAGGTCTCGTAAATAAAAATAAATAAAAGGATTGGAAAGATTAAGCAGAACAACTGCTCACCTATATTGCATCTTAGGATTTAAGTCTTGCCAGAAGACCCATTTTCACACGGATCTTGAGCTAGGTTGAAGGCAGAAGCTGTGCGGGGTAGTGGAAAAGTACCTGGTCCCTCAGCAAGAAGTTGAGCTGCACTTCAGAGTTGAAGGCTGGCTTCGAGGAGCGGACCCACGGCAACACACCTTCACCCCACGACGACCCTCAGCACATCTCCTAACCCCCCGGAGCCTCAGGAGCACTCTGGCAGCCTCCTGCGCCGTGCTGGGGGCAGCATTTAGGCAGGTGCCCCCCTCCCACACCCTCACACACCCCCCTACCTGCCAGCCAGCCCCAGGCAGCCGCTGCTCTCCTTCACGACGCGGCCTCCTCAGCAGGAAAACGTCGCGGGCTGCCCGCCCACAGCCCCCCAACGGGCGGGCGGCGTCGCCACCTGCACCCTCCCCGCTCCCTTCCTCCTCCTCCTCCTCCTCCGGAGCTTTCCCCGCAGCCTCCCGGAGCGGCCCCGCACTCGGCAGCGGCGCCGCCTCAGCGCCGGCCCTCCCCGGCCGCAGGGCGGCTCCGCGGCGGGGGCGGCGCTGGCTGCGGGCCGCCGCCGCCGGCCTCACGCTCCCCGGCCGCCCCCGCCATCGCCGCGCCGTGACTCACTCACCCCTGTGGCGAGCCGAGGCGAGGCGGGGCCGGGCCGGGCCGGGAGAACCGGCGGGGCCGCCCGCAGCCGTTTAACGGCCGCCCCCGGCCGGTAACGGCAGCCCCCCGGGGCCGCCTCTGCGCGCGCGCGGCGGCAACGGCCATCGGGGTCCCCCCCCCCCGCCATGGTGTCCTCAGCTCCCCTCAGCGCCGTGAGGCGGCTGGCGGTGCCCGCTCGGTCCCCCCCACACACGCAGGAACGCGTCTTTTCTCCAAAATAAATATTAAAAGTTATTAATATAAAGATTTATTTCCGTCAAGAAAGAAATAGAGAGCCCGTAACCGGTCACGGGGATGCGCGCACACACGCTTCACGCCACACAGAGGGCTCTGTGGAAGGGGGTTTGGGTTGCAGGTGTTATGCAAAGGGTAATAATGAGGTAATAATAAAGGTCGCTCCTACAGGCACACGGCAAGCTGTAGGCAGAGTGCCCCCCACACCCCTTTAAGTTCAAAAAAAAGGGAAAAGGGGAATTATGGCCATTCTGCTAATTACTCCAGACACTAACAGCCACCTGAAACACTCTCCTTCCTCTGTTGTTTCTGCAGCACCACGTCTGAGGGCCCACCTGCTCCACATCCATGGCTCAGGCACAAGGCGCACCTGGTGGCCTCCAGAGGCTCGCTCATGCAGAGCAGTTTGCAGGAGAGGGTCTGCCCGACATCACTCATGTGTGCAGGAGTCTTGCTCCCAAAAAGATTGTCACAACGTGAGTGGCACGTTCAGGAAGTCACAGAACTCAGCGAGGAGTCAGGCAGCACACCTCTCGGCTATCTTGCTTGGCCATAACAGGGCAACCTTCACAGAGCTCTCTTTGGACAGAAATAAGGAGGAAGAGAACTTCATATGGAACAGTTTCATGAGGGAAAAGAAACCTCTTGCACACTAGAAGTCCACAAGGAGAACAGCGTTCAGACCACGTCCCTCCTGTCCCCCAGCAGGGTGACGGGAGGGAGGGAGGGAACAGAGGAGTTTTGAGGAAAAAGTTACTGTTTGCCTCAGCTGGAACAAACCCAGCATCTTTTTCATTACTGTTTTTTTTTTTTTTTCTCCTCTTTCATGAGATCAGCAGGGATATCATTGGAAGCAGTAATTCTATAAACGAACACAGCCAGCCCATGCATTAAAGTTCTCTTTCTGAAGAGACACCCAGGCAGTTCTCAAAGGCAGCTGCCACCAGAACCCTGCTCAGAGCCATGGTGCAGAGCTAAACCTGCAGAAGGGAGTTAATGGAGCCAGGCAGGAGTAAGAACCACTTTGGAATTTCTAGTTCAAGCTAACTTTATAGAGTTTATAGAAAGAGTAAGCACCAGCACAGAAAGAGAAAGCCTACTTGCATACCCAAGCCATGGCAGACATCTACACAGGAGTTAGATATACCAAGCAGATACCCAGCTCTTCGCTACTGGAAGGAAGTTTTGGAACTAGTGAAATGCATGAACACGTACGTACATACTCTGGGTAACCCCGCGCACTTCCTCTGCTGTTGTCCTGTACACCCTGGTTCTCACAGCAAGCTCATGCCTCAGAAAGTACAAGTTGAGACTCCTACCTTGAAACGGGTGAAGAAATTCCTGAATGTTTTTTTTTTTTTCCTAAGCAATTAGGAATAAATACATAAAAGCCAAGAACATGTAAAGTATTAGCACTCAAAGAGATTCTTCAACAGCACACACTCACAAAGTACTTAATAGTGCTAAGTAAGTTGCATGGCTCTGGAACTGAACACCTTTCAGGGATGACACAAATCCCATCTCCACCACTTTTCAAAAATCAGTTCACTAGTTCCCATTTATCATCAAGGGGTTTAGAACAAGCAAAAACAAACAACAACAAAACTTTTGCTTCTAGATTCACCATTAATAATATCACTATTTCTGTCAACCAAGGAAGTAGACCGAGAGATAACCCACCAGCAAGATTGTAAGAAGAGTTTTTTTCCATCACCACTCACACCAGAGCTCAGAAGCACACCATACTGCCCTACAAGCACGGTAAGAAGTAGTTTTTTATCCACTACCATAGTTATTTACCCATTACCATAACTGATACAACCAGAAGCTCAGACAAGCCCACCCCCACAACCCAGAAGAGGCTGACCCCAAACCCCACAAGGAGCAGGTTACGAGGACAACCAACCACTCCTCACTAACCACACAAGCCCCAGGGACTCCCAACATCCCAACAGGGAGCAGAGAGCCCCCAAAACTTACAGACAAGCCCCAGCTCCCTCCTGGCACTGCCCTCCCGGCCGTCCCCGGCTTTCAAAGGAGGCGGCCGGTGTCCGCCGGGGGCGGGACCGCGGCCGGCACCGGGACCGCTCCGCCCGCAGGTGTGGGACGGCCCCGGGGCGAATCCGGGGCGAATCCGGAGCGAATCCGGTTCGAGGCCGGTGGGGTCCGCCCGCTGCCCTCAGACGGCGGGAAGAGGCCCCTGGGCAACCTCCCTGGGAAAGCTGAAGTGCTGCAGATTTGCTGCCCTGCCGAAGCTCATGGGGCAGTGAGGAATGCACTGGTTTAGAGGGCAGGGATCTTGTCAGAAAATAAAGCAATTGTCTCACTTTCTATAAACAAGTTTCCCCTATGGCTGAAGCCAAAAATTGATTGTCTATCTAAAAATACGTGCATCCAAAATCACCAGCTCCGGCTTCAGAGCACTTTCTGTACAAAATATCACTTGAAGACACGCTTTTTGTGCATGAAAGAGAGCCTTGGAAGAAATAGTACGAGTGCAGGTACTGACTTGATAGAGGGTGTAGAGGAGGAACGGGAGATTGAGGAAAAATAATTCTAGTTTATCTTCTGTATTTGCAAGTCAGAAGATCAAGATGTTTCTAGGAAACTGTGTCAAGCAGAAGTGTAGGAAATATTCTCAGCCTCTTTAGGAAAGGAGATAACATTTTTGGAAACAAACAGTACATCAGAGGAATAATGCCAGGCAGCTGAAAAGGCTTATTAATGCTCTTCTCTAGCATCCTAAGAATTTCTGGATATGACATTAAATGCATGAAAACTAGAAGAAGACTGTGTGGCTGTAACAACTACTGCTTAGTCAACAGGCAGCTCCATCAGCCTATTTTCTTCGATACTCAGTCCTATCTACTTTATCTTCTCATCATGCTACAGAGTGGTTCTCTGGTCTCATCTTTTCCAAGTAAGTTTCTTTTCATTTCTCAGCCTTAGGGTTTTACTTTTTTTCAGCAGGCCCATCTGAAGCAGAACAGTGTTGCTAAAGCTTTCACTGCTAGCAACCATCCTCTTTGACAAAAAATAAAAAATACTGGGTTTGTTTGTTTGTTTTTTCCCCACAGTAATGCAAAACAAAAAACCTCTACATTTTAATACAAACTAGCAGTAGCTGAACACAGAAGTTGCTATATGGTCTCTTTTTGTCTGCGTGTGTGTGGTTTTTCTATGAAGGACAAATTGTTCTTATTCAACCAGGAAAGGAGAAAAAGAAAAGAGGGAAATGGAAATAAGACTGAACAGTGAATGAGCAATCCAAATGTGCTGAGCTTTACCACACCCCATTGAAGTATATAAGCTGTGTAATTTTTATCTCATTATCTTACGTCTAAGGATTCTATTAGTATGAAGATTATTTTTTTTTAGTCAAAATTATTTTTAAACCCCAGCAGCTGACACAATTGCATGAGGGACAATTGGCCTACTTAAAAAGACGTGACTGCTCTTATCACCTGAATGTAAACCCAGTATGAAACACACAGTGAGAACTGTCATACTAGGGCACCCTATCTAATGTGCTGCCCTGGCTCTGATAGCAGGCAATGCAAGAAGCTTCAAAAGCTGTACAGTAATATTCTAGCTGCTTATCTATTCTAGCAGCTTATCTGCTTACTTTGTCAGGTACTCAAGTTTTGTTTTCTTTCTGGTTGCAAACCAGATTTTTTTTTCCTTTAAAGGAAAGGACCAAAAACCACCTTAATGAAGTTATGCACTGAACAGCAGAAGATTGCTGCTCTTTATTATTGTTTTGTGTGTGTGTGTAGAGTGTGATGCTCCTCAAAATGTAAGACGTTAACCCAGTCCTATGCCCATTTCTCCAATAATTTTAAATGATGTGGGGGGAAATACTGGAAGATATACAAACACTCTGCTATGAAATCTTACTATTAGTTTGGGCAGACCTGTAGAATCAAATCTGAAAGTGAAGTAACGGCTAAAGACATTGTGACAGATATCTTTCAAGTGAGTGAGTCATGAACCACAGAAATATGAAGAAGCAAAAGACAGAGCTGACTCATTTATCAGTTCTGAATTTCAAATATGACATGCTTCTTTTGATGTTATTCTATGGATTAGCAGGCCTTTAGCATGTCTTTTTTTGCTGAGGATTCAAAAGATATGTGAGGTTAGTGAAAAGATGCACGAAAGCCTTTGTTCCACCATATCTGAAACATACCAGAAGTAATTTTGAGCTTATTCTTACATAGGAGCAAAATTCCCTCATTCTACTTACAAAAAGGCATGGCCAAGAGATTTGGCGTAAAGGCCCCAGCCAAGAAAAAGTTGATTGATAGATGGGCTTCTAGACTGAAAAAAACACTTGCTGAAGAGTCTCTATGCCAATTGGTATGTATCATCACACAGATGTGATGTAACTAGGTGGCTTATGATGGGCATGAAGCCAAAGTAAAGGGATCTGGGTAGTGTTATGTCCTGACAAATGTACTTTACTGTCATAAAAATGTGTTCTAAAGTGTCTTTTCCTTTGATTTGTATTTTTAAATCGTTTTGAAGGAGGATGCAGAAAGGGTGGGTCATAATACAAGGAGAAGGGTTCTTCCTATAATCTGATGAGAAAAAAGACTGAGAGAAAATTAGCTTGAGAAGAGGGGCAGATCTTAGAAGAGATGAGGGGGCTGACAGTGCTCCATGAAGCCTCTCAATGGAAAACACCACAGCAAAA